TTTTGCCAGCGGCACCAAAGTTATTATATTGTAACAATGACGCGGATAAATCAGTTCGAAGGCATTTTCATTTTGTGTGAATTACGCCTTTTATTATCATTCCATATAAAGGATGTGAAGACAGGAATTAATACTTTTAATTAACCGTTATTAATTAGAGTTTAATCGGGCATTTTACGGAGGTATCGTTTTTGTGAGACTCAGTTCCGAGACATTGCGCTCATTAATAAAGTGGAGTTATCTAAATCGTTTTTTAATTTTAAATTAAACGAACTCCATTTTAGTAGAAAGCGTTTACTTATTAGATAGGTTTTATTAATTAACGTGACATTTCTGTTAAATAAGGCGTTGTTACGAACTAAGTTGCAGTTTCGTGAAAGCAAAGAGGTTTTACTATTCAATTATAATATGGACAAAGTTTTCGCTAAGGGCAGGATTTATTTACACGAAGTAAGAAATAATGGAGAGCTATTATATGTTTTGAAGGGATTAAAACATCATTTTTAGTGTCCGTTCATATTCCCCTAGTGTAAGTTTCACCTGTGTGTATATTTATTTTCTGACTATAACATGGATAAAGACTTCAACTTGACAATTTAATATAATACCTACTTATAAAAAATGAGACTGCTCGTTTGGCCTAGTAGCTAGGCAACTGGCTTTTGTCCTACGTGTTGCAGTTTAATTTCCGCACGGAACAACTACTTATTTGTGTGATCCAAAATTTTTTATTTCGGGTCTGAGTGGCTTGGGTATGTGAATTTCTATGTTTGTAACCTCTTTCATGACCTAGAAGAAAATGCTATTTTGCAGTTTTCTAGGTCAATAATAAATTAATTCGACGTTTCAATACAATAAAATATTGAAAAATAACTATACTTTCATTCATCGATCGATCGATACACTAAGTTTTAGATATTTTGTAGCTAATTATTAAGAAGAGTTTTTCATACAAACTTCATAGAAAAGTATATTTTTTGACATTTGGATAAAAGTATTGAATTTGACTAGTTGGAAACTACCTACATTTATTGCGGCACAATTTTTTTTTATTTAAATAAAGTAATAACATTTAATAGAAACAGTTCCATTTTCAAAAAAAAAGTATTCTAAATCCCAAATAAAACAAGACTAAAATACCGTGTTAGCGGATAAACGCTTTATATTATGCAAGTGCAGTAACGGGATGTTGGAACTAATACATTTTCTATCGAATGTACAAACATACTGATTTGTACATGCATGGTGAATGTACCTATGCATCCACATAAGCCTGAACTCGTGTTTAATAGTTTGTGAACTGGATTATACGCTGTTCTATGTTCTATCTAACAGGATATTTCTTGGGATCAATTATAATCGCGTTGCAGTTAAATTTTATTTGATATCACTCAATGTATTTTCTATATGATTTTTGGGAGTGGGACTGAATTGGCTGACTACCACAGCTGAGAACTGGGTTTTCTAATACTCTTCTAATCATCTGGAGAAGGTCCTGAGAGCCTATGTATGTAAGACTGTTTATCTATCCTAATAATATAAAGAAGAAATATTAAATTTTTTGGGGAATATCTGGGAAGCTATACTACCCCTGGTGAACATAGTATATAGGTATAACTCCGTAAGTAATATAAATCGTTGGAAAGTAAACTAAGTATAATTATGTTTTCCTATTATAAGCAATTAATTGTAGTAGTTTCTATTCTAAGAATTTTAATTAAATTTAATATTTTATTTTATTAACAGCATTATGTAAAAATAATTAATATTCACTTGGTCAAGAAGAATGACTCATTTATTTTTTCGTTTCATTTATGGATACTAATACAAAAGGAAATTCTTTTTTTTTTAATTGTTTTTATTTTGTTTAAGATTGCTTTGGAATGTGCGCAGGAGTGATTGATGAGTGGAAATTGAGGGTTTTGTAAATATATTAACGTGTTCTCAATTAAGGTCTTATTTTAATGGAAAATTATGCACTTACCGTTGACGTACCAAATTAGGGGTCTCCGGTAAATGTCAAAATGTCTTAATTATTCATTCTTTGTGTTTAATAATTACGCTGTAGATACAGGTGATGGTTGTGATGGGTTTACAGTATGTATGATTGTATATTCACTTTTATATTTAAGCCTGTAACTGCTGACTGAAAACTATTGAAGGCAAATGCTTTGCTACCATAGGGCACCGATGACCCACGTGGCGCTTAACGTATTAACCTTCAACGCATTGCAAAGTTTTGTATTTTTTGTTTTTCTCTTAACTTATTTATAGGACGTTATGATGTTTTTAATGACCTATTTGCGAAACGTTAATTATTCATTATTTTATTGTTTGATTGTTACCAGCTGATCAGTCGAAATAAAAGAAATAACAGCAAAAGCCAAACCGAAACTACGATTTTTTTTAATTGTAATTTTAGTTCCATAACGAATAAAACTTGATGGCAGTTTTCTGTACCTATATTGACCAATTATTCGAAGAACATACAAATTAAATTAAACAGAAAAGCTTATATTTTACAAGTAAGTCAACCGATTTCAAATGACTTTTCTAATATACACAATAAGGCACAATATGGCATAATAAAAACAGCTTAAAATATTCAAAATCGGTTGAGTAACATTAAAATAACATAGGTAGTTATAATATCCATTATACATATAAAAAATAATTCAAAATATACAGTAAACAAAATTAAAAATTGAGATTCGACTTTTTAAAATTTTTTTAAAATTTATTATACTTTCATTGATCGATTTTCTTTATTTTACCTACATACCTAACAATTCTAATTTTAAAATAATTCCTAAAAAAGTTAAGATTAAGAAATTAAGTACCTATGCTCTTTGACGTAAAACAAAACATGGAGTCTGAAGTTTGAACACAAACTGTATTTATACAATCCAATATTTACTGATTTTCAAGTAACATTTGATTTCGCATAATTAGATAAGTTCGAATTATTTATAAAAATATACTGATCAGTCTGGTATTCTTAGTATCTACGTAGGGCCGTTTTCAATAACCTTTTTCTGAAGATTTGCTTATTTATAAGAGATCCCAGACTTTAGAGTTGACGCGGTGGCTAGTAAGCAGCTACCAGGCAACTTGTTGCGGGTTCGATTCCCGAACGAAACATCTCGTTTTGTGATCTACAAATTTTTGTCAAGTGAGTGTTTTCAAGAAAATCGCGCGAAAAATGGTGTCGTTTGAATGGCTCGAATTTATTCAGTTTTTTATTTGCCTTTTAAAAAAGGAATCAGGCAATGTTAAAGCCTACTTATATTTTTTCTTTTATAGTAAACATAATTAAATAAAATGTTCATATTTCTAATTTTAACACAAGCTCCATTCAAAATTTGTCAACATTCATCTCAACTAGGGAAATCAACAGAAGACAGGTTATTGAAAACGACACTTAATATTACATACTTTTAAGCTCTGTTTCACAATATCTGATCAAATGGCTGTTAGTGTAATTGCAATGTGACGTACCCAGCATATAGGTAGATACAAAATGTTTCAAACTTTGTGATACTTCACCATGCTATGATGGTAGTGTCTCCATTTTTTATCACTCCAGTGTTTTAATATGCACCTAAAAGACCACATAAGTACCTACTTAACAGAAAACAAGGCATAGAATTTTCTTTCTCTATTCTATCTTTGAAAAACCTAAGTGTCTACTAATGTGCACGATCGACGGGCTTATGACGTTCGACGCTCTGATTGGCCCTCTCCTGTTCAACCAACCAATCAGGGGTCTAGATGAGGTAACGTTTTGTTAACGTAAAAATAACTCGCACTTAGCACTTTTTAAACTATGATCTCCAATCCGCTTGCCAGTCGTGGAGATTATGGAGAACAGTCATGTAGCGCAGCAATGGATTTTCAGTCTGTTAGTTATTTAAATGTAATTAAGTTCAGACATTCCGAAACAGAGCTTTAGTATTAATTACTATTAATATTCATGTAATTACAGATAATATAAGGTGGGTAATTCTAAAACAATAATTAATGCCTAATCCCACTAAGCCTATAAGTCTTATGTATGGCAATGTTGTGTTAATACTTAATGTGTTTTCCTAAGGCACACTAAACGCTCTGAATTTGGTAAAGTAGCATCCGATTATTAGTGTTTCATAATTCTCATAATAACATTGAGTTAAGAACTAGTCACTATCAAAGATAAAAAAAAATAATTTAACATTTCTGCCTTCCACTTCCACCACTGAAGATAAAAGGTGCGATGGTATGCCCCTTAACAATTCAGAGAGAGACGCTTAACTTAGAATATACGGTACTTAAATTTAAGACGTTATCAAAAGTATTTCTGTCTCAACTGAACACAGAGAAAGGAAAGGGACGGTTAGACAAAATGGCGACTTGTAATTATTTTGGCCGTTATTGTACGAGTCATTAATTTATTTGTGAGTGTGAGTGAAGATCTGATTATACTATTCAAATACAGAATGTCGGCGGCAATGTCGTTTTTCCGGTGTGTTTCATACTTTCTGGCCAGTGTCTTTAAAGAAAATTTAAAATACAAAGAAGTCTTCTAACCTTAAACTTTTTCTTTTTACCATTTCAAGGCAAGCCCATAGCAAAACAATAGATGAAAGTTGCCAACCTGTTACTGCCCACAAAATGATACGACATCGCATTTATTTGACCAAATTGTGCCCCGATGCGGTTTGAAAATCTAAATTTGGCACCGTTCAAACTGTACTAGCTCATCAAATTGCTGATTAATTGTGAATAAGGCTTTAGAGTGTGAGATTTAAGGTTCTATTCTATAATTGCGTTAGAAAACGGTTTTAATAATAACGTAAAATCATTTTTTTTTCTTTGAGACAAGACTTCGTCTATTTTTATTATGGTGATGTATCAGATATTATAGATCAACAAACACTTTGCTAACAGTCAATGAAACTACAGCTCCTGTACACACTTATAAAAAGGAATACTAAAAACTCAGAAAACGAGGCCTATAATCATCAGGACTCGTCATCAGAGTTATATTCAGTCTTTACTATTAGGTTCTTGTTCTTCAACGACCCTTCGTAGTGTAGTGACACTATCGTATGCTTTTTACAGAAGGCCCACCACCACCTAAAGCCATTTAGTCCTACGAAAGAAAATCCGGGATCCCTCATCCTTCGCAACTTTTCTACAAAAGATAAAACTTCTTTCAATGGTTTTTGAGTACGTCTATTATAAGGAGATACGTTTGTTTCACAACAGAAGTCTAGTACAGCCTTTTCTTCGCTATCTAAAAGATTTATTTCATCCAACATTGCCATACGTTTAGATTTTCCTAATATGTTATCGTATAATGTCCCTTTTGGTATGCCGTATATGGTTGATGCTTGCGTGAATTTCATTTGTTGCGTGGCGACTGCGTGGATAGCTTCCTTCAACTGGCTTTGTGTCCAGGACGGTTTGCGCGAAGTCTGCCCATTAAAATCTGCTAGGATTGGAGAGCAAAATAATAAAAGAAGAAATCGTGTTACTATGATGCAGTAATATGAAATTAATAATATAATAACTTTTGATATCATGAAGCCATAGCTTGGAACCAATATATATAAAGTAGCTCGTTTGAAACGAAAACGATCCGGGGGCTGGTAAGTATTATTTTCTTTTTTATGAACAATAAAAATACTTATGGACATATTATAATATCATATAAAATATTTTCAAACGAAATTGTAAATATACAATAGCTAAAGATTGAAAACACTGTCGAAGATTGGCTGGATTAGATTGCTTTTGGTTTGTCCTAGTTTTTCCTGAATGAAAAGCGTGCGTGGACTATCAACTGTTACACTAGTAATGTCTAGCCCAAATCTAGTGCTAGCTTTGGGCTGGCTATTTACAAAATAAAAGATAAAGATCTATCAACACAGACCATTATTGGAATCTGACAAAAAAACATAGATACATATTAAGGATCTTCGTTTTTCTTCTGCGTTATAACCAAGGAGTATTTCCATGACACGTGAAAACTAAAACTTACCATTACAACATAATATTTTACAATGTTTCGTTCGAGAAACTAAGGAAACTGTCTTACTAACGCACACAAGTACTCAAATACAATGCTAGTTTTTATGGTGTTAGAGTATAAATTTCACTAACGCAGTACATACGGCTATCGTATCTTTAACAATGTTGTATTGAGCTAAAATAATAGTGTTTCTATATTTTTCTCTCACGTTATAATGACAACGTAAGAATAAGAGCCGCTATTATCAATGAGAAATATTTGCTATAAAATACATTGAATGACTATGTTTTGCTATTTATTATTGTATTTATTAATGTACGGGGAAACGTTTGTACTTTGTGCCGTTGACAGAAATGTATATTTTAACGTAATTATGATATATATTTACGGATTTCGATAAACTTATTCTGAATTATTTTAAGACGATAACAACCTCACATAACATTGACTTCCCGAAATTTCTAAATTCATCACACTTAAAGTTTTTTACAAAACTAATTTTAATTAGATTTTCCTTTCGCTTCACACCAAACCATTTAAATATGTGATAGAACGCAATCATATTTTGTTCAACATGCACCTATTGACGAAACATTTGGTCTTGAGAGGTCACTAGTGTGCTCAAATTTATCCCGTATAGGTATTTTTATTTTCTATACTGCATCAACATAACACGGTTTAAGAAAATTATAGAAAAAAGGAAAGAAAATTGTTTTCATTTAACTGTCAGATTTATATTAGACAGCTAAGTATGTACAAATACAGGTCGAAAATACGACAAAAATATTTCAAAAAAGGAATAAACTAACAAAAATCAATATTGCTAAATTTGAATACCGAATTCGAAGAGAACTCGTTTAAAGACAATTGCCAGCATTAAAAATGGTACGAACCTGCGATTGCTGCAGACGTGGATGCTCCAAGCCAGGCCTGGGAGTTCTCAATCATTTTAGCCTGCGAACAAAAATAAATAATATATTACTATTGCTATAAATTCAGTTACATTTAGAAACTAACAAATAAGTCATTTTTCGACTAATTATCCGACCAACAATCCTATTATTTTATGTTATTATCAGTTTTGTGTGTTTGCCCTAATAATTATTATACTTACAGAAAAAAGTATCTACCTGTGACAGATTTATTTTTATGGCAACACATAATAGGACAATGACCGACATACTAAACTGAGCCACTGACTGACTTGTGACGAGATCACGAGACTTCTTTGAATACATTTGGCTTTACTTATGAATTATTTATCGATACAATAAGGATGTACATATAGTATCGAAGAATTTAGTTACAGGAGGAAGTATTTGTTGGTCTTATTTTTGTGTACTGCGGTGGTACACGGGTAGTAAAGAGCAGGGGTGTGATTCTGTAAGACTTCATTCTAATCTTCGAATCTGAATCCGCGGTGAGTTTCTTGATTGGCATTCTAAAACTCGGTTCCTAACTCGAATCTATGCTAGCGCTACACTTGCGAGTGTGTTTACGAGTTGAACTAAATTGACCGCAACATTTTGACAGATAAAGTATGAGATAACGTTGAAAATCGTATTCTATAATGTAATTGCCCAGTCACTTCGACGCTCACTTCAAACTAGAACAAGATTCAAAATGTCAAATTAAAAGTATCTATTTTACGAGTGAAAATGGAAGAAATAATAGTTAGATAGTGTTCAAATTAAGTTTTGAAAGTAACAAAGTGAATAAGTGCTTACCTATTAAAACGATAACGATGGCAAGAATGTTTTTGGTAAAATCTTTGTTAGAAGAAGCTCATACTTTAGATAAACAAGAAATGCGTCGACAATCTAGCACCATTCGAAGTTTGTCTTTATTAACCTGAGATGACGACTATGTGAGCGTGTATGTGCAATGGAGCTGATTGACCAACTGAAGGATGAGGTACTGCCTTTGATAAAACCCACAAAACGGCGAGGCAAAGGACTTTGGTATGGTATAGTTCATAACATGTATTACCTGGTTAGTTATGTCCCTACTTCAGAATATATAAGTCTAATTACTAGGTTTTATTTATATTTGATTGGTCGGAAATGGATTACCTGATGGAAAGGATTCAGCGCCGCCAATGGATGGTATAGTTCATAACATGTATTACCTGGTTAGTTACGTCCTTACTTCAGAATATATAAGTCTAATTACTAGGTTATATTTATATGTGATTGGTCGGAAACGGATTACCTGATAGAAAGGATTCAGCGCCGCCAATGGATACCCGCAACAACAGAGGGATTACGAGTGCGTTGCCGACCTTTTGGGGATTATGGATTTGGAGATTTTGACACACATTCACACGGCGAAACACAACGCTATGGTTGTTTCACGCCAGTTTTCTGTGAAGCCGTGGTATCACTCCGGTCGAGCCGACCCATTCGTGCCGAAACATGGCCTTCGCACACTTAAAATAGTATAAGTACTAGATAGTCATTCGATTTTTTTCAGGTGATTCAGGATATGCTCAACGTGCCTACTTTATGACACCATTAGTGGTGCTGAAGCCAATTCCCCAGAAGCATTTTAAAATAACATACATGCATATTACTGCTCGCAATTTTGAAGAGAGGACAATTAGAGACGAAATTATGTACAATTGCTGAAGTTCAAAGGAGGCAAACTAGGAATTTGCCATCTAATACAGGTTTAAATCTAGGACGTAGGCAAAATATAGTGCCTCAAAGAGCCAATAGACCACCACAGACGGAGCCCTACAGGGCTGATGTTCAGCCACGGTGGCGGGGCAAGCGCAATGAGGTGCCACGGTCACGGCCTAAAGCGGAAGGAACGGGGGGGTTTTAGCCAGTAAGAGTCTGACACTATCTCGCCTTACCCTGGGCGGGAGAAGTGATATGATGATTTTCCCCTGGCAAAAAAATATGATTATGATTTTATTTAATTTTATTTTGATTTTAATTCAATTATAGCCTTACGAGCCTAATTGTTAGACCCTAGTTAATTTATTGTATCCCATAATTGTTTGAATATACAATTGAGTTAAAATCAAATAAATAAATAGTGATATGTGAGGATGGGTCTTTAACTAATAAAACTGCTAGTACTCGTTAAAATTGTTTAATTTAAATATAAAAAAAATTTGGTTGAAACGTCTTAAACACTAAAACACAACTTCGTTGTTACACCCTATCTCGATGCATGGCCTCTGCCAATGCTCACAATCCATTCCAGATTGAAACTACAGATCCAGCTAAAATTTAATCATTCCCTACACTTCTCTTCAGAAATGCTTGCAAGATCTGCGCATTTGATATTTGTAAATTCTTCCAATTGATTTGAAATCGTCTACTCTTCCACCTTCAGGAATCTCCCTGTGATGTTGGAGAATTCCGTTCGCCGTTGTGATGTTAGAGGAGCAGCAACTGAAGATGTGTGACGTGATACTGAAAAGAGAACACCGATTAATATGTGCATTGATAAAAACTCTTTAACAAATTGCAGCTTTTCGCTGTCGTTTGTTCCAAAAATTAAGTTCTTTCTTCAACCTCTGATAGCTCAACTTCATCTTACACCACACCAGTCCTGTCCTGCGCCTAGCTGCTAAGCTTCTTACGGCGCTTTTTTCTTAGACCAATACTACAAGCAGACATTTATATTAATAAAGGAGTTATTAAAAAAAGCCTTACTTTTTATTATTATTAATAGTCAATGTAAAATTAAAATAAGATAAGTTATATAACCAAGGAGCACGCCAAGATTCATCGTTATTTTAAGTGGCTTGCATTAAGGAATATTAAATGGTTTTAACATGCCAAAGTAAGCACTACTTACTTCACCTTGGTCCTCTGTTTATAAGTTTTGAAAGTGCCATCTATACCATACAGGCACACGGCTAGTTCCTTCCACTAGCGCCGATTTCGCTCTCTGGCACCTTGAGTTCTCAAGAAACCCTTCGCCAGCCAGGTAAAACCTGTGATGACGACGGGTGTGAGGAACGTATCTCATTTGGACTGAAACATTATTGTTTGATTAGAAAACAAAATAAACACTCTATAATAAATATTATTTTTGAACTTTACAACCAGTAATAAAACTTACTTCATGTTTATGATCTCTCTTTTTATCGGCAAACACGGAACAGAAAAAATATACGAATAAACCAAACGTGGACAAAATAATACAAAGCAAATGACAAAGAGTTTGTCAACAATGAATGAAGACATTATCTGTCAGTTTCTTTTTGGTAAACGAAGCACAGATTATATTCATCGCCTGAATTTACAGTTTTCTGTTTATTTTGTAATAATTAGCTGCCTAAAATTCCTTAAAATAAGAAATTTCAATTTATACGTCATAATATCTAAAATTCTGTGTCAAAAACTTGTTCAAATAAAAACCGATAAATCTCGACTTACATTTTGTGTAGTGTGGTACTACACTAGTACAGTATTGGCCGATTCGGAGCTCACTCCACTTCGCAAGTGCCTAGGTGATGCTTACAGAATGCAAAATCAACGCCAATTTGAACCTTATGCGAAGTGAGAGCGAATGTCGACTTGACATGCGAGTTCGTGTTAGAATTTTATAGAATCGACGTGCAGGTCATGTGTTATTCCAGATTACAATGTATTTCAGTGCCAAATTTCATTCGGTTATTTTTGATTCAAAGCGTAACAAACAATCAAACATGCGTACATTCTTATAAAATTTCGCATTTTTAATATTGGTGGTACAGGATTTATATACGTCACATATGCGTAACATCAACAGCCCACGTGGCGTCCCTACGAACATTTACACTTGTCTGTGGAACAAGGAAACCACAGGTATTTTTTAAATTTGTCGCGTCACATTTCAGCGGGAAAAAATTGGTGCGTGTACGGGACGACATCATTGTGGCCGGACATGTCAGTCGCAATAAAAATATAATTTTTCAACTGAATCTCCGTGAAATTCGCTTTTGTTTCAACAATGTACTGAACACGACAGAACAAACGAAACGTTTTTTTGTCAAATAAAAATCACACTTAGTAATTAATGGCGCCAACATCACAAAGAAATCGAACTTTATTTCCTTTCATTAGCCAAGTAACGGACACAGCACATAGGCAGTAAAGTATATAAAACAGCGTTCTAAATCTTGTGCCGACACAATTACAACAAAGGTTTAACAAGTCGGCTTCATTACCGTACAATAATAATAACGGTCAGATGAAAAAGAACTATTCGTCGGTTAATTTACAATTTCCCATCTCGTACAGGAAGTTTACGATTGCACATTTTATCGATCGCTACTGTAGATGATGCGTCGGATCGGACGCGCCGGCCGCGCCGCCCGCGCGATGCTCACGCGCACGTTTATTTACGTCCACCCTGTAATTGTTGAAGCAAAGAGCGGCATTTCTTTGTGCCCAGCGTTACAACTAAACATTATCGAAGTTTTAATTGTGAACGCAGACAAAAGCCGGCCATTTTACGGCGGCAATAACGGAACGCAGTTCAATCTACAAATAAAATCTTTTATTAAGTTAGCCGGGCGACGACGGGCCCGCCGCTAGTCGTGTTTACGAAACGCACACGTGCCCTAAGTACCGGTTGAAACGTTCCGATGTATTGTTTGTTTACCCGAATAAAACACTAAAATCCAATTCAATAACAAAGAATTAAAGATCCCGAAATAAAATTTATTGCCAGTGTACGATAAAATAGATTTATGTAGGCGCAGGCGGGGGGGAAGGGGGGCGAGGTGCGCCGGAACGCGACTGCCTCGATCATATTATTAAATTAGTACATTCACTCATCTAGATTACAATACGGTAACATTGGGAGGGACAGCTCTGTTGTTGTAGGAAGATGGAATGGTCCAGAGAAGGTGTAAGGTTGTGTTGTTAATATTAGTGTAGTGCGGTTTGGATAGATGTCACGTATGTCGTGTCAGACATAACAGCCGTGGTCGGGAGTTGGGTGGGAGGGACTTGGGACACGTATTATATTGCTAACTTGTTGAGCCATGTTACGTCGCCAACGTAAGCAGCTGTTTGACGGGGATTGGGGCGTAATCGGCAACCTGTAAGATTATCCTTGATCCTTGATTTAAACTGAATGCGAAACAGTTTAAATATTTCAGTTTAGTTTGTAAGTCTGGCTCGGGGGTTAATTTAGAGAGAACGGGAGTAGTCAGGTTAAGTAGTCAACTGCCTTAGCGTGCTAAACTACGAATGCTTCCAATAAAAATGGTTAATTTATTGGCTTGGGTAGAACTTCGGGGCTGGTCGCTCCGCTACACGGGGCCGGGTGCAAGGGGTGGCTAGCCGGTCCTTTAACAAACTAATAAAAAAATATTCCTTAATAAAACGGAGACCAACAAACCAATTGATATTTGATGATGATATTACGAGCAAGCTCGTATTATTATTTTGTACTTATGCGGAATAGAAAAAGTTCAATGGCGTATTTTGAAAATGGTCATATGTGTTTTAACGAGATTTCTGTAATTTCAATTCTAATGATCTTCTTTTAAAGAAAGTCACGGTTAAAGTTCTTTAAAGTTGTGTGACGAATGTTAAGTATAAAGTACCTTATATCATTTACATGTTCACATCTACTAACCTGACGAAGCAAGCAATACTACATAAAATTTCAAAGTAAAATTAATTCACGTCGCTCTGAAAGAACCTAGATTGTGCACGGTCCGCTGCGAAATTTAGTTTCGCGCGAGCGCTTCGGAATACCTATAGGTGTCATTCACTGACGTCACCAACAAACTCGATCTATGGCTGTCCAGCACCGCGCAGAATGACTGGCGTGCCTTCACTATATCTGCGCGACAACTATTCCAATACCTCGATCCGGCTACGCGAACTTCGTTACCAATAATTTAATTCCTAACCTCAAATCATTGAAGACAGCTCTACAACAGAGAGGAACAAGGAAGCGCTAAATGTATGTGAGATAGGTAAAAAGAGTAGTAGCGTAGTGGTATTTTAATGATGATTGCTTTGCATATATTGCATTATAACAAAAATTTTGCACCGTCTGCGCGAATAACTTCCTAGATAGCAAATGAGTGCAATCCAGCGCATTAGTCGGTCATTATTTATGTTATTCCGGCGGCTGCGCGGCATGGCGCCCCTCTAATCGAAACTTTGCGTACGAAACGCAATAATAAACTTCCGTGGTACCGCGCAATTACTGTCTACGTATGTATACGCGTAATAAGTCCGCGTCAGCCGGCCCTAGCGTACGATTTACGCGAAATTTAATTTCGCTGTTTTATAATCAAGGTAGTCGGTGTAGTCTGCCTATCGTTCGCCGGACACAGAATCCAAAAAGAGAAGCCTGCGGTTCATAGCCCATGTTTTACAAACAAGGTACGGCGTATTTGTTAATATTAGGATGTCCAAAAAATAGTAATATGCGT